TGTATGAAGGCAGGTGCTACTACACAGTTTCTTCACAATGCTTTTACAATCCAAAATGCAGCTTCTATTACTGATGTCTTGGACTTCTTAAAAGAGAAACTCCCCTGGATTTGAGTGTGAGGATATGAGCTCACCATTATGAAGGTATAGGCAAGAGAAACAATGAAAGAAATTGTCAAGAATAAACAGCTGTGAAAAAAGATTTGTCTTTATGCTCTTTGCACTGATAGCCAGTTTGCTTTCCTGCTCTGAAGGTGGTGAAAACTTTTGGAACAGGAAGAGAAAATGCTGTACATTTCTAGTATTTTTCTTGAATGTAAAAGGCACACTGAAACTACCATCATTACATTGAGTTTGCTCACACAACCAAGCTTTCTATTTAGGACCAGGTCACAAATAAAGCAAAACTGCAGCATTCAGCTCTACTGAAGTTACAGTAAAACCTCCAAGTTTGTCTTGGTGCAGACAGGAGAGAGCCATACCGTTTCTACTCAACCCTCAATTTCCTTTTCTAGTACAGTTATAGCGACCGCTTCCAGGCACAGGCAGCTTTATTGGAGTTTTGGATATATCAGATGACAAGACAGATGTGCTGCAGCTGGATGGGTCCTGCATTGGCAAAGCCAGACCAGACAGACAAATTCGGGAGGAAATTATTGATGTGGTCTTATGTGATACCAGAAACAAGCGTTTGCTCTTAGCTATGAGCACACCATTCTTTCAGAGGTTTTGCACAACTTAAATTGAATACCAGACCAAGTGACACTAATAAAAGTCAGGCTGCAATCTTACCAAGCTAATGTTAAAAAGAAGTTGTACATGTATGGAGTCTTGGAAGTTCACATTCTGCTTCATATCCCTTCAGTGGAGTCTACCGAGTCTGCAGTACTAAGACAATGTACCAGCATCTGATGCATGTCTAACATCACTTAGCTGCTGCCTCTGTCCTGAACAAGCAAGCCTTGCTTCCCATATATATATTTTAACAACAGAATTTTTTACAAAACCATCTACGTGGAAAGCATCCATTTTTCAGTCAAAAAGGTAAGCACATGCAGCTAAATCAGCCTTAACACATACACATTCCAAATTACCCACTGCAAATTCTGCCCTTCTACATGTGGCCATAGTAGAGCTTGGTTCAGATTTCCAAAGCATTGTCTAGCCATTGTCCTAGGCAGTTCTGGTGACAGAAGGCAGCAATAGGCAACTCACCCTTTTGGAAAAATCCCCACATACTCTGCACTTGATAAAGCAAATCTAGACTTTTTTTATTTTTATTTTTTTTTTTTTTTTAACAATTTGCCAAGACTGGAATGAGAGATAAATAGAAGGCACAACAATTTTGCTTTTTTTTTTTATACAAATACAAACTAAACATGAAAAAAAACTCCCTATTTCAATAAAAAATTTCACAAGTTCAGGAAAAGTGTTTTAAGAGTCAAGTTCTAGACATTTAAAACCTATCCCACAATCCAAAATTTGTAAGTGGTAGAACAGTAGTTAGAATTCCTTTTCGTGATCATGTATCAAAAGAAAAAGAAAAAAAAAAAAAGACTATGGATGCCCTTTATTCCACTTTTACAGCGCCACAGAGAAGAGTGAATGTCAATTTTTCAAGTGGCAACATCTCCAGACCAGAGGATGTTCACATGACCCTCAGGGAATAAACAATAGTTTTCCTGCCCTTGAAATGCTTGCCAAGTGCTAGGTTTTCCTACAGGCTCTCCAACACATGCAGATGAAAGATTATTCCAACTGACTGAAATGCATTCAATTTCAGTATACAGGGAAAAAACAATCCATTAGGAAAGACCACTGGTACAAGAAATCCAGTCCATCAGTTTGCAATGAGCAAGGAAACTCAGTTCTTTTTTTAAAATCCACTTTTCCTAATATTGTTCCACAAAGCTGGAATCTGGGACAAGGACTAGAAAAAAAAAAAAAATCACAAAAAACCATAACACAAACAAAAAAGGGCCAAAATAGTATCAAACGTAGCAGTCTATAACAGGCTAGGGCCACATTCCAAGATACCCAAGGCTGAAATTCACAAATCTGCAGGAACAAAGGTTTGTGCCATTGTGTCATCATCCACGATGTATTCACTGGCGTTGCCCGATGCCCCTTCCAGCTCCAAATCCTGGTTTCTGAGACATCCCTCCACGTGGAGGCCCTCGAATCCCACCTCCCAGCCCCCCACGAGTGCCTCCAGGTCCACGGGGTCTGTTATCTCTGCGATCACCCTCCCTGGCAGCTCGAGTTTTCTTCTCTTCCACATTCAGGCGTACCTCTCCCCTGAACATGATAGGCTGTAAGAGAATGCAGAGATTTACCAGTGTTACTGACCCAGCAGGAACTCTCAGAATACAGCCTTTCGTTAAGGAGTAGCAGCTCCAAGAGAGAAAAAAAAAAGAAAGGGGGGGTGGGAAATGGGGGCCCTGACAAATATTACAGTCAAGATGTGACTAACCTGGTAGTTACGCCATAAATAGTAACCCTGCCACATGGCCAAGGAATTAGTGACATGCCAGAGCAGGAAACCAGCCACAAAAACATTACACTAAAGATGCATACAGTTTTTCTGGCTCATTTCCATCGTTCCTTAAATTGAAGAGAGAGGCAGGGTGAGCTGAGCTAGCTTAGGAGGAACTGACAATTAGCTAATTGTGCATCCCAGCCCTGGGACTGCGTAGGAGTCTCGAACAGTCTTCTGATCAGAGTTTCATACCACACTTCGCGAACACTAGTGAAGTTTTCCCTTTTAATAAAAGCAGCATTTTGAATCACTGTGATGAGTGGTTACTGAATCTGAAAGTCACAGTGCTGCTGAAGTGGAGAAGTCATAGATCATAGGAAAGTAAGGCTGGAAGGGACTTCATGAGGTCATCTAGTCTAGCCCTGCTCCTCAAAGGCAAGATCATCCCTGACTAAATCATCCCAGTAGTGACTGTCCAACCTGCACTTGAATATTTCTAATGTCTTCTCTAGATAGACTAATCCACTGCTTGAACACCTTCCTAATCAGAATATTCTTCCTATTCTCCAGCCTAAAATTTCCTCTGCTGTACCTTGAGGCCACTGCTTTTAGCCCTGTCCCCTATGGCCTTTAGCTGTCAGCATACATCCCCATTTAGTAATAAAAGGCAGGCTGATTTGCTGTTCGAGTGTAGAATTTCACAATCCTAGAAATATCAACAGAAGCATGAATGATTCTGAATCACTAGTTATGCCATAATATAAATAGAAAGACTGAAAGAGTCTTCACAGTGGCAGGAAGTTATCTTTTCTATCAAAAGGAAAGCCTAGCTGTCAGTGTCCACTGACCTTACCCTGGAAACAGCAAGCATCTAAAAAGGGTACTAAGCCCCTTCCTGGCAAAGGGGCAAGAGTATAGGAATATCATTGCAGCTTTGCCGAACTCTGTTAATATCCCATTACCTTTCATTATCAGCCCCTTGCTAGCAGGTGCTTGTAGCTTATCAATCAGTTTAAAGGACTAGTACAGAGTATTCACAATACAACTGAGTTATTTCCGCAGGACCAGATCTTTAAAAATTTAAGATAATGCACTGGTGTCCAGTGTACTGTAAATTGTTTAGTTTCCTGCCACCCCACAGAAAACTATCCATTAGAAGTAGAACAGAGATAGAGTTGTCCCTCCTTGTAGGTATAAACATTTAAAATATTTAGTCCTGGGTCATATTAATTACATTCCCCATATTGTTAAAGATAGTTAATTTGGGCTCAATAATGGTTTGCCTGTCTGGAAAACTTGAGTGCACAACTGAAACAATGTAGACAGCAGATATGACCAACCACTCAGCTTGGTCACTGGCTACAGCGTTTATATCAACAGCAGCCAGGCACTGGCTGAAAAGATAGCAATGCTCTGCCTGTTTAGCACATACATTCTTTCCTAAACAAACATGGCACAGTTTACGACTGCACTGAGGGTCTGGGTAGACAACCACTTCGCTCTTGGATTAGGAACTCCACAGCTCCTCTCTGCCCTCAACACAACCTTCCCACATGCACCATGTTTTTTTTAACCCAGGAAACCCAAGACGATTAAGTCTCAACCTACAATGACCGGGTTTAGTGGCGATGGACAGAGGGTACACATGCACCCCCTGACAGCCAGAATTCCCAGGCGGCGGGGGGCAGGCAAGAGTGCTGGTGCCCCCCTAAGAGCGCTGGCCAGGGAGTGGGGGTGCCAGAAGTGATCCCCGCAATCCCAATGCAGCCAACTGCGCTTTCTGGAAGTGCCAGCAGCACTCCATTGCTACTTGCGGGTCAGGGTGATGGGGCCCCCCCCAGTCATCAGTGGGATCAGCCGCAGAGGGACCCTCCACAGTCACTGACTGGCTGCCGAGGAGGCAAATGCCCCTCCCCCCCAACTCAGGAGGCACCAGCTGCCCATGACCAGGTTAATTTCTCTTACTACCACATATTTCTCCACATTCACCCTGTAGTTAGCAGCCTTACCTCCATTTTTGTGGGTTTTGGCACTAAATTCTGCCAACTTCTTCACCAAATGGCACAGAGGGATAACACCCCTTTGCATGTCCACAAAGGGCAATTAAGAGGCTGACTAGCTAGCAGAATGTGCCTTCTCATTACCGAGATCAATATTGCCCACTATCAATAAAAAGGAACGTATTCAACTGCTCTATTTCCTCCTTCGCCACCACCATTAGACCAAGGCTTATTTACCCTGTTGCTAAGAATCTTCTGAACTGGTTCAGGGTCATCAAACACCACAAACCCAAAGTTTGGGAGCTTTCCGCCGCTGTTGATTCGGAGTTCTACAACATTGCCATAACCTGCAAGAGAGGAGCCGAGTTCTTTGGTCACACATTAGAATGCTCTGCAGGAACAGGCATGTGCTTTGGGATGAAATGCCCCAACCCTCCGTAATCAGCCAAGCAACACAAGGCAGCAACTTACTTTGGAAGAAATCCTTCAATTCAGATTTATCCACATCATGAGGAAGGTTCCCAACAAAAAGCTGGTGACTGTCTGGGTACCTCACAATCCGTCTAGTCTCCATATCACCTTGTTCACCTTCACGAACTAAAGAAAAAAAATGCCATTCGCTTACTTAAACCAAGCAGTATCCGTGATCATAAAATGCCGAACCGTTCTGGTAAAAAAGCGTAACTGGTTTGCAACAGGATTAGCCAAGGGTGCTGAAATTTCACAATACCCACACATTTACAAGAAGAGAGTTACATGTGTGATAAGTAAACTTCAGAAGAGCTTGTGAATTTACACAAACTCTCAGAACCCTGATTCAGCAAATTCAGCTGAAAACATACTCAAGCAACCTCCCACAGCTTGCCCAGAATCAGCTACTACAAATGAAAAAGAAAAAGCATAGTATTTCAAAATGAGAGTTGAGTTCATTTCCAAAGCCTGGAAGATCTGGCCAAAATCAGCTCAAATACGCAGAGCAGCAGGAACGACATGACTTTAATGACCAATATTCCAAGAACTGAACAAACAGCAACATTCATCCTCTTCTATATCAATTCTTCTTGGGTCCACCACAACATTAGAAGGCAAAGTACAAACGCAAATATATTCTTCTTACTTGGTCTGGGTCCTCTCTGTGGTGGGATGCTTGTTCGCTGCTCCCTCACCCTCTGATCCCTCTGAGGCCTCTGTGGTGGAGTTTGAGATTCAGGTTTGGACTCAGGGCGAGGCTGCAGAAATTCAAGCAGAAAGTAAGTGATGGCTCACAAACAAGACCAGTAGCAGAAGTAAGGTGAACTTTCTGGAGTTTGAAATCGAGTTGCACAGAAGTCATCATCTTTAATTTGCAGATGACAATATGATCAACCTTTTCATCAGTGGCTCTAACAAAGACTTGAGCCCAATTTATACTTATAAGTACAAAACACAGCTTGCTCTTTTGCTGGTTAGTGTTAGAATTCAAATCATCCCTCATTCAAAAGAGTTTATTCTGGGTTAACCATAGATGTTATGCTTAATCTTCCTGTTAACCCCTGGACAAGGCCGGACTAACCCTTCCACCATGGCCCAGCTCACTAGAACTTGGGAGATTCTACAGAACCTGGTCCTCATTCAATCTTTGCTTAATACAGATCAGACACATGGTTTGCTTGTGGAAGGTTTTCCTCTCAGCCAGAAGAGTTAAGAATGTGACTGTTGTTAAACTGCGATTAATGTTTACAAGATGACACTAATACATTCAGAAAGCCACACCACAAACAAGGAATTTGTTGTAGATGCTTTTTCTCAAGTGACTCCAGTAGTATCACACAAAGCTTGTAATTAATGCAAGATTCCTACCTGTGAGGCTGGTACTTTTAAAACATGAGGTGGTATTCCTGACACTGCAACAGCTCCAGTGGGTGGGAGGTTCTTACTAGTTACAGATGCCCATGAAAATGTCTGGGGAGATAAGGGGGACGTAAAAAAAAAGTGTTAATAAACCACTGTGTGGATCCATATTCAAATCCTTTTCAGGGACACAAACAGCCCAAGTCAAGGGGTGGTAACAGAAGCTTTAAAGCAGTCATTGCAGGAAGAGGTCATCTCCAGCCCCTTAACACTGCACAAGTGGAGAAAAAAAAGTTGGGAAGCAGCAGTGCCCCAGGGCACTGTTGCAGACTTCAGAATGCATTGGTTATACTCTGCCTGCACAAAGACAGTTTTCTTCACTATCCTAGAGTGCTTGATTTTAAAAAAGCCTATTCTATAGCTGCCAGATTTGTTACATAAATATGTAAGACTTCGGGGGGGGGGGGGGGGGGGG